AATTCAGTTTGTGAGGATTTGTAATTTGAAATAGTATTTGTCATAAAATCATTCTTGCATTTACAGAAATATTATAAATTCTGTCGAGAAATTTAAAATGCATTTTATTTTTATTAAAAAATTACACTATTATGTTCCAAATAAATATTTTGTATAATATATAAAATAGCACTATTATATTGCGGATTTTATTACAAATAGTATATCATAAAATTACTTAATTTTTACCGCAATAATGTTGATCACATCGATCATCAATTTCGAATTTAAAAGTACCCTGTACCAAACTAATCGACTTGTTTTAAAATTAATTATAAGCTTTACCAAAGGAACGAAAAGAATTAAGATTAAAGTGACATATAAAAACTTGGCGTGTCCGGGTTGCATTATAAGTCATACATTTTTATTAATATATTGATAATGATTTCTGATAATCTTTTACAAATTTTTATTTCAGATCGGGCATTATCCAATTATCCATTTATTCTACCAATTTCAATCAATTCAAAAATATATACGGAACTACAAATTTTATAATTTGCTGCTTCTCATCAACAGTGAGTCATAAACAATTTAATAAGAGCAAGAAAAATATGGTAAACACAATTTTATTTTTATATGTATGTGAAATATTTATATGTACAAATTACACACAATCTAATCGCAGATAAAAAATTAATGCTACACCTCAATTAAAGTGCCATCTTTTAATTTCTTATATTTAAATTCTGGTAAATATTCATTGGTCCAAACTATCATATCTGATTTGCTCAATATGCATTCTGGATCGATGGCAGCTTCTTGAAATTTTGATAAAGTTTTGCTATCCTCTATGATTTGTGAACATCTGAGTTTCTCTTTGTTCTTTGTATATAATTTTGTCATTTCTTTAATAGTCACAAATTTTTTTGATGTGCTTAAGAGTTTTATACCAGAATTTTTGTTTCTCTTCCGTTTCTGTTCTATGAAACATTCAGTAGTCTTGCTGTTCTTTAATTTAATAGTCCTAAAAGAAAACATTGATATTTACATAGAGAATAATTATTGAAATTAAAATAGCATTTGTGAATAATTATTTTAATACTTACCTCTCTAAAATTTCATCTAATTTCTTAGCAATAAAACATTGGAATGTGTCAGTAACTCCAAAATTTGTAAATTTGTCCTGTTTCAAGTTTATTCCCAAAGATTTTCCGTTTGATTGGTTGGTTTCCAAACCTTTTAAAATTACAAAAAGTAATTAATATATAATACTTTCATGATCGTTAAAAAAAGCTATATAAACACTTGTCGTCTATTCTATAAATATATAAAACATATGATATATACAACATAAATATATAAAACATATGATATATACAAGATTAGATTTATTTACTAGATTCCGGAACAAATTGGCTTTTCCTTGTGCTATAAAGATTGTCATTTAAAAATTGTTGATCGATCGCTTCTTTCAGGATACTTGGAGATATTTCATCTTCTGAACTCGATAAGTCTGTCTGCTTATTAGCTTTTTTCATTTTTAATTCAAATAGTAATATTTTTCGTAATAACAACACAGTCCATTAGCACTGAACTTAATATAATTTAAGAGCTCTCTTACATAATTTTCATTTGGAGTAAACACCAAGAAAGCGCTAAACTTCATAGGTTAAGACCATAGACATATAGAATGGACTGAGCGTTGCGATAGACAAACGCGTGCTCGCTGTAGAAAGAGAGGTACTATATGGGAGGCCTATGTTTATCTCTTTTCCTAGCATCTCATTGGTGATTTTGTCTCCCTCCATATAGAAAATCACCAATGAGATGCTAGGAAAAGAGACAAACATAGTCCTCCCCATAGACATATCAGACTATGCATTAAAGATTGAGATTCAAGATTCAAGATTGAAATTTGACCAATCAGAATAAAGAAATTTTAGTCCTTTTTGTTCTGATTAGTCAAATTCCAATCTTTAATCTTGAATCTCAGGGTGCGAACTCATGCAGGGGAATAGCGTAACGCGGAACGAGAGCATGACCAATCGCGAGCGTTCTGCAGTTTTTGCTATGCTCACGATTGGTCCGCTCTTGTTCCGCGTTAAGGTGCCATTACATGACAGCATTAAGGTGCCTTTACATGGCAGCGTCAAGCGTCGAGCGTTAAGCGTCTGCGCAGAATATTGTTGCCCAGAATTATATTTCATTTATTTTATTATATAACAGATGTGTGTGAAGCGTCGAGCGTCTGCGCAGAAAAATGCGCAGAATTTAAAAGAGATAGATTCTAGGCTGAAATTATATTCTGCGCAATTTTCTGCGCAAACGCTCGAGGCTTAACGCTGCCATGTAAAGGTGCCTTAACGCGAAACGAGAGTAAAACCAGAGAGAAGAATGAGAGTCGCCACGCTGCCGTTTTTCGTGTAACGCTTTTTCTAGGTCGGCTGTTTTGTCGGCTCCGAAAGTGGATGTGGCCATGTAGTTCCAGGCGGCGTAAAATGGATGTACGTGACGCTAGTGTACGACCTAGAAAAAGCGTTACACAAAAAACGGCAGCGTGGCGACTCTCATTCTTCTCTCTGGTAAAACCAATCGCGAGCATTCTGCAGTTTTTGTTACACTCGCGATTGGTTCCCTTCTCGTTCCGCGTTAAGCTAATCCGCGTTTCCGCGCTTTATGTAATGTCTGCGCAGAAATCATTGCTCAGGAATCTAAATGAGATAGATTCCAGCTTCTTGCGGCTAATAGCATGATGAGTGATATGAATTCGGTCGAGATAAAAAAAATTATGTTCTGATACACATTACTAATACTGAAAATTGATATTTATTTACATTATACACAATAGATATTATTATTATTAAACAAAATATGTATAAAACGTTACTATCCCCCAGCAAAATATTAAAATCTAATCAACCCATACAGCACAGAACGTTGCAGCAATGTTACTACAATGTTGCAATGTTGCTGCAACGTTCTGTGCTGTATGGGAAGGATTATGGGATATAATTTTCATTTTCTTTCCTGCATGTTTATAACATATACTGCTCCTTTAAATCATTTCCTACTTTTAACAATAGTTTTTCAAACTGTGTCGTTTTGTCATTTGTGAATCCCTTTTTGTGTCTTATTTATTTGAATATTTCAACCATCCAAAATCTTTTGCCGCATTTGTATTTTAATTTAATTTTAATTTACATTGCCAGAGTAGTAACGTTTCATAATATATCTTTGATTAATAATAACACACATACACACACACACACACGCACACACACACATCTGTTATATAATAAAATAAATGAAATATAATTCTGGGCAACAATATTCTGCGCAGACGCTTAACGCTCGACGCTTGACGCTTGACGCTGCCATGTAAAGGCACCTTTACGCTAATCCGCGCTCCATGTAATGGCACCCTCAATCTTCAATGCGTAGTCTGATACGGGCTTTAGGGTACGCGCAAGGGCATCTTGTTGACTTTTACATAGTCTGTGGTGACCTTCGTTTGAACCTGACCTGACCGTGGAACTGTGTTCTGTGGCCGGCAAGAAGTATAGTTAGTTTTGAAGTCTACCATTTTTTCTCTTTCTCTCTCTCTTTCTTTATTCACCCTTGTTAAAAGATATTATAAACGGTAAGTCAAAAAATATAAATTACGGACATGTTGCTGTGGTGTTTTTCTTTAATCTAATTATTGCATGAAGCAGGAGCTAAACATTACCATGCAGTAACGGTATATTTATCATTGATACCTTAGAATATAGTATTTGTGACATTTATTTTAGTCTTCGCGATTGTATTTTGCGCGTCACATAACTTCATTCGAAAAAAAAATAGATAAACTCGGCGAGAAGATTGTTTAAAAGGAAAAAGCGTGTGCAAAATTTTATATCTAAATAATTCGATACCACAAATTCGTGATAACATTAATCTCCCGCAATCTGCGTTTTTGGATGAACATGTACTCGCAAAAAAAAAAGTAAAGCGATTAGTTTTGATTATGTCATGCAATGATATGAAAATGATATTGTTCCTTGATTACGGATATAGATACACATATGGTCCCAATAACGTTTTCTATAGCGATGAAATATCAAGCTGTTCAATGAAGCTGATGCTGAATAAAGTTCTTCGTTATTTCTCTATTAATTAAACTATTTGAATGCAGCACTGAAGAAATAAGTTATTTTCTATTTCAATAACTAAAGTAATATTTGTTATTTTTAAATATAATAATATAAACTTCTTACTTAATTTAGTAATGAGCTATATAATATTCTTTTAAATTAAAAAAAAATATATATATTCATATATATGTTCTTACTTAAAGAAATATTTAAATTATATTTCATGTTATTTCCAAAATGAATTTCAAAATTAAACTTTAGATAGATATTTAT